TTAACTTAGGGACAAATTTCTACTACAGATAAAAATGAAGTGATTGATCATTATTCCAGAAAATTCTGTTCATTTTCTCAAACTCAGCATGTATTATATGATTGATACTCCAAAGCTGGTTGTAAGAGAGATTAGAGCTCAATCTCAACTTATTTAATAATGGTTTCTATTATTCTTAATTCTTGATTCCCACTAAGCAAAATGAAGACGTCAAAAAGAGCTTACTCAGAGTAGATTTTACTCCTTGGAGGAGGATGCAGGGAATACTGACAGACTGTCCTGGAAAGAGAAAGTTAAAATATTTAAGCAAAACAATGACTGGTATACAATAAGTGTTGAATAATATTATATATTAGCACAGGTTAATTATCCCTTATCCAAAATGCTTGGAATCATTAGTGTTTTAGATTTGGGGTTTTTTCAGATTTTGGAATATGTGCATTATCTTCTTACTGGTTGAGTATCCCAAATCTGAAAATCTGAAATCCAGAATCCTCCAATGAGCATTTCTTTTGACAGTCATGTAGAAGTTGGAACATTTTGGATTTTGAATTTTCTGATTTGGGCTGCTCAACCTGTAACAATATGTTTTAGGATTTTTAAAGCACTTTCATATCCATGATCTAGTTTAATCTTCTAAACAACCCTATAGGGTATATTGGCAAGGTATTATTTTTCCCATTTACTAATGAGTACACCAAGTGTCAGAAAGGCTAAATAACTTGCCCAGGTTAATGTTGGTAGATAGCAAAGACGGGTTTTTGAACTAGTTTTCTAGTTACAAATTCACAATGCTTTTTAAAACTATATTATGACATTTCTCCAGTATAAACAATAATAATTTGACTAAGGTTAACATATAAATAATGTTGTAAACAGATACTTTACTATGGAAATTTTTCTTAAGCTGGTCCTTATAATAATTTTGTCATTATTCAGTTATGTTACCGTTAGTTAATTTGAAGCTTTTTATTTAGGTACACTCAATTATAATATTTTACTTTATATCGTTTAGATAGAAACTACTAGAAAAGATAAATATTCCTTTCTTTAGGTCATTCTTTATATTCAATGCAGTCTGGCTCAAGACCAGCTTATAAATATTAAGTTACACGTGCTGAAGCACCAGAATTTCAAGGACAGAGAGGTTAACAATGAACTCCCAGTGGCCTTAGCAGGTGAGATCTCCCTAGCAAAGGCCTGGAGGGAGGAGATGGGCCCTGAGGGGATTGTGTGTACTTTACTTCTGGTCTGCTACGTGACACCTCGTTCTTGCTGTTTCTAATCTCTATTCCCTTCCTGTTTTCTACTCCCTTCATCTCATATCCAATCTCTGACGCTAAAAATGTATTTGAAAACTGAAACTGTTAAGGTATTGTTTAGTTCAGTCACCTGCTAATCTATCATTTTTATTTAAGTGTAGTATTCCTTAATTACTAAACATAATGACAGTATCTTAAGAGTACTTCCACATAGCACAGATAGATCAAGCACTAGCATATGGTGAACATTCAAAGTCGCAAATTATGATTCCTCAAATGGTAAGGTTCTTCGGTATTACTTGTGTCATGTACATTGGTTAGCATCACTGCCAGAGCACCTGTCTTGGGGAAAATAATTTTTTAATCAATAGTGATGACAAATAATATAAGCTAGTATGCCTTTTACCTTTACTAATGAATTACCAAAATTAATTCATTTAAACCTT